AAACAAATCTAAACATATTTTAAAATTTTATGCTATTTCCGAAATTTTTTGCTTTCAATTATGGCGTTTGATTTTGTTTTATATCACCCTGCATATCCAATATAAATTTCATATTCATCTCCGGTTTCGGGTTGAGAGAAATATTTGGTTGAATATAGCAAGTTGTAAAGAGTCGCAAGTTATGACAGATAAAAGTATATAAAGGGGTTCGCAGATATATATCATCTTCACAACAGATCTCGTGTTGCAAAAATGTTAGTATGTGTGAAATTTAAAGAGAGTTGGATGGTTATTTTGCTTTCTTTCAGCGTTTTGTTTTTCAAAGTCTTTAACCCTATGTGCGGTAGGTACCAGAAGAAATGATCCTATCTCCACCATCTTTATGAATGAAATGGAATCGGATGGTAATTTCGCGTTTTATGAGCGCCATTGATATTCAAAATTTTGATCCTTAGTGTAGGAGGTACCAGATGGATTGGACCGATACATCCTATCTTCACAGCAGATCTTGTGTTAGTGGAACTAATGGGATGTGAGAAGTAGGAAGACAACCGGATCCTTATTTCGGATTTTATAATATTTTTAGTTATTTAAAAATTTGACACTTTGTGGGGGAGGTACTAAAAGCGATGGTCCGATCTCTATCATCTTTGCAACAGAACTTGCGTTGATGAAATTATTGAGATTTTCCAAGTCCGAATTCGATCTTAATATGATAATAATATACGATGTACCAAGTTTGGACCAAATCTGATACTCCCTTCGAGAGTTATCGTGCGTACCAGCCATCCAGACAGACAGACGGACGGACGGACGGACGGATATCGCTAGATCGACCCATGTCCTGAAACGGATTTGGTCCAAAAAGACATAGGGTCTAAAACCGTTATTTCGATGAGGCATGTTTTGGCCGTATCAAATGATATAGAGGGTATAGCCATATGGTTGAGGGTAATAAAATATCGTTTTGATGAATATAATCTGTGCATCTAAAAATAATTTTGCTAACCAAATAAAAAGAAAATGTCAAACGGATTTAATGCAGCTGTAGAAATGTGCATTAATATGCTATTTTATTTGCAACCAGATTTAAATTTCAAAATTTTTATTAAAAAATAAAATAAAAGATATCTATTAATAATGCCGGTAAAACAAAATGCATTCAAAGAGACACTTTGAACTTAATGTTGGGCGAATAGGTTACGGAAATTATAAAGATCATAATTTCGGGTGGAACGTTTTCATCGTAATAACCGCTGGGTTATTTCTTTAGAAACATTATTTTTACAATAGTCTAGATTTATTTACGAGAAAAAATCGTGGCGTGAAGTTATTTTCCACAAGTATTAAAAGGCTTTATTTTTACTGTAGCAAATTGTTCATCCATCCATGTTCCGATTTAGCCAAATATATATACTTCTAATAAATTAATTATATCGGTTTGTCACAGTCGAGCGTGTCAAGAGAAACTTGAAATATTTAGAAATTCCTTTAACGCAAAATGACAAATGGACTTTTAAATGGTATGCCTTGAAATATGAATATTAACAAGGATAGGACTTAAAAAAAAGAAAACAGTAGCATCCACAATATTTTAAATCAAATTTAAAATCAAATCTTAAAAAAAAAAACACATCGATTCCCGATAAATTAGCACAAATTGAGATATATTGCTAAGTGAGAATAATTAAGAAACGAGTATTGTTTAAAGCAAAATAATAAACACGTAAATTATAATTCTGCCGTTCCGGTTTAAAAATAATAATTTTACTTTATATAAGATGTCGTCTGGTGTGTTGAATAACCATATAATGATTTCAAATTTCGCATTAAAAACAAGTCCGAAGGTTCTGTTTGAAAATGTTAAATATTAACTTCCTGGAAAGAAAAGGCAAACTTCTTCTACTCAGAGAAAATAAATATTTGTTTGGGGTTACTGTGAAATGCTTCATACAGGGTGAGATAAAAAAACTGCAGCAAAGTCAAAAGCCATAATTTTTACATTTTTTTAATTATATTGAATGAAAGCAAAAAAAAATGTCGGAAATAGCATCAAATTTTAGAATAAGTTTAGATTTGTTCGATTTGGCACGAATTATGGCATTCAAACGACCAATAAAACCCCGTCACATGCTGCCCGAATATTGCTCTGCGGCATTTTGGCCCATTCCCGGTGAAGTGCTTGCTTGAGGTGATCGACACTTTGGTATTTGATAGTGCCAACCTTGCTTTCCAAAATACTCCAGACACAATAGTCCAACGGATTGGTATCCGGAGATTGTGGTGGCCATTGTGCGCTGGAAGTGAAGTGAGGAACCTCATTTTGTAACCATACTTGGGTGGCGCGTGCTGATTGCGATGGTGCTGAATCCTGTAGGAATATCCAAGGTCTGCGGCCAAAATGTTTGCGTGACCAAGGCTTTAATATAACCTTCAGAATATTTTCGCGATAATATTCGGCATTTATTCTGATGCCACGGTCGATTAATACGAGCGGGGAGCGACCATCGGCTGTTATGGCAGCACACACCATCACAATGGCCTTGAGTGAGTTCTGGGGGCCAACCGAAGGTGCACATTTTCAGCTGACCTTTTTGGCAAGTAAACACGATCATTTTGTTTGTTTGCAAACTGCTGGGCAACGAATGTTTTCTCATCGGAGAAAACCAAATTCGGCTGTTCACTACTTTCGGGCAAGCGAATCAACTCCTTAGCTCTTTTGAGTCTATTTTCTTTCTGTTGGGGGTGTAAGTTCTTGCACTTTTTGGAATTTCAATGGCTTTACCCCGAGCTCATTTTTCAACATTTGCCGAATGGAATATTGCGATATGTTCAGCTCACGAGCCATTTTTCGACCGTTTTTCTGCTGATGTTGTTGTATTCTTCCGTCCACATCCTTGACGTCGGGCTACGCTACCAGTATCACGGTAACGAGCGATGGTACGAGACACAAAAGATTTATTAGCATTTAAATGCTGGAGAGCTCTAGCCACTTGTGATTTTCTAGCCAAATATAAAAAAATTCCACTATCACGCTTGAATTCCATCACGAATAACTTTTTTTCCGGAGAATTCTCACCAAAATGCTTTTGTACGCTTGTAAACAATATAATGTGCTGTCACTGGAATAATTTTAACAGCTGTCGGACGAGTGGCTTAGAAATGACAGCAGTCTGAAGTTGATTGCAGTTTTTTCATCTCACCCTGTAAATTGTATTGTGCAGCAATTTTATAAAACCATGATTAGAAATGTATACCAATTCCATAAAATATACCGAAAACTACTCAAATAGTTTTAAGTTTTAATGTGACACAAAAAGAGTAGGTTTTGATGGGATTGCTGTCACTCTCGTCAAATAAATATGAACAGATTTCAACATTTTATGAAATTTCCAAAATTAAAATTGCATTTACCTACTGAACGAAAATTAAAAGTACTTTTGTTGGAGCACAAACACACTTACACGGAAATGAGACGGCCCACATAAATATGCCGCAGACAATAACTAAAATCCCCTTTACCTCCCTTGGCCTCCTCATTTCATATCGCTTTACTTTTGACATATTTTGAAATGAATAATCATACGTGTTTCTTTTGAAATGACCTTTCTAGGTAACAATAACAAGAAAATAAATATAAATCATTTATTTAAAAAAGTCAACCTCAATCAAACATCCAATCTTGATATTTCCCTAATGTGAACACATTAGTTGGACATGAATGGAGGAAATTAAACAAATCATAGATGGGAATGGGTTAACCTTTTGATCAGGGGCATTATATTTCTTTAATATCATTATCAGTTGATGTGGCCTGCTAAAAAAACATTTACTATTATTGATATTTTGATAATAGAATGACGAACAATTAACCATGATTAGGATTTAAATCTTAAAGATTTCGATACGAAAAGCTGTAAACATAATTACAATAAAACGATTTGTTTTTTCGAAATAAAAAATTTAAAATATTGAACTTAATTTTTTTATAATTTTAAACATATAACATTAAAATATTTTTAAAAATAAACATAAACTTAAAAAGAAAAAATGGTGGATGATTGCAATTTGTTTTCGACTTAAATAAATATAAAAATATAACTAGTTGAGAAAAACCTGAAAACTAAAAAAAAAATGAAATAGAACACGGTCGGCGTTTTATGTAAGACACCATAGTTATTTTATTGTTACATAATAGCCAGCCTTAATCACATTATTGTTGTTTTTTTTTCATAAAAACAACGTTTATTTATTAGTGGAGAAAATGGTTTGAAAAATTTCACAAAAAAACAAATTAAAAAATACAAATTGAATTAAAATTGAAATAAAAATAAAAACATATAAAACATAAACTTAAATAAATGAATAAAATTAGATGATAAAAGAAACAGTTATATAAAATTAAAATATACCCCCCAAAAAAAACAATAAAATTAAAAAAAACAACTAAGTTCAGCCGGGCCATTTTGAACTTATTTAAAAATTAAAAAAAAATCCCTAGAATAATACCTCCCGAATGACACCCCTTATGTGGGGGGCTATACGAAGACCTGACTTTCATAAGTAATTTTTTGTTATAAGCTTTAGTACCGATTCCGAATTTACGAATGCGAAATTTGAAACTATTCCGGTGATTAATGCCGCTAATATCTTTAAAATACCGAATATCGGGAGGTACCGTTATATGGGGGCTATACGAAGACCTGGATCTATATAAACATTTTTTTGTCATGTTGTAGTATCCATTACGAAACTTCAACTACGAAATTTGAAACAATTCTGGTAAAAGTTTCATTAAAATCATCAAAATATCGAATATACAGGGTGAGATGAAAAAACTGCAACCAACTTCAGATTGCTGTCATTTCTAAGCCATTCGTCCGACAGCTGTGAAAATTATTCCAGTGACAGCTCATTATAATTATTTTAGATGGAATTGAAGCGTTAGAGCACTCCAGCATTTAAATGTGAATAAATCGTTTGTGTCTCGTACCATCGAAAAATGGCTCGTGAGCTGAACATATCGCAATATTCCATTCGGCAAATATTGAAAAATGAGCTCGGGGTAAAGCCATTGAAATTTCAAAAAGTGCAAGAACTTACACCGCAACAGAAAGAAAATAGACTCAAAAGAACTAAAGAGTTGCTTCGCTTGGCCGAAAGTGGTGAACTGCCGAATTTGGTTTTCTAAGATGAGAAAACATTCGTTGTCCAGCAATTTTTAAACAAACAAAATGAACGTGCTTACTTGCCAAAGAGGTGCACCTTCGGTTGCCCACCAAATCTCAAGCGCCGGCCATAGTGATGGTGTGGGCCGCAAATAACAGGCGATGGTCGCCCTCCGCTCGTATTAATCGACCATGGCATTGAATAAATGCCGAATATTATCGCGAAAATATTCTGGAGGGTGTATTAAAGCCTTGGGAACGCAAACATTTTGGCCGCATACCTTGGACATCAACCCAAGAACAGTTAAAAAATGAGTTTCTTCGCTTCATTTCCAGCGCAGAATGGCCACCAAAATCTCCGGATACAAATCCGTTGGACTATTGTGTCTGGAGTATTTTGTAAAGCAAGGTTGGTACTAAAAAATACCAAAGTGTCGATCACCTAAATACCGCAGAGCAACATTCGGGCAGCGTGTGACGGTTTCATTGGCCGTTTGAAGACCATAATTCGTGTCAAAGGTTATCAATTCGAAAAAATCAAAGTTTTCTGTCAAAACTATTTCAACGACTTCATATGCAAATCCTAGAAACCAACAGAGACCTCAAGATCAAATTTTGGGATTTCAGCTACAAATGTATGACGTAGCATCAATAATCTAAGTATCAAATATCAGAATTGTATCTATTTTTCTTCACGTAATACCAAAATTAGTTCCACTTAGTACTTTTCGAACAGTAAAGATTTCAACGGACACCACCTCCACATCTATGTCAAATTTAATTATTTCAGCTTTATTCCTTCATCCAATACCAAATATAGTACCATTCAGCAGGTTTCGTACAATTATAGCACACATTTCCGAAACCAGCTCCAAATGTCCGGGTTACACTTGCATAGCGACCCTAATGCCAAATTTCAGATTTCAAGCACTATCTGTTCACTCAATACCAAATTGTATCAAATATGGTTATATTTAGTACTTTTCGTGCACTTGAAGTACACATTTGCAAAACTACCTCTATATCACCAGCCTACCAACAATAGGGACCCCAATACAAGATTTCAAAATTCCACTTTCATTCGTTCACCCTAAACCAAACTGTTCTAAATTTAGTAACATTTAATGCAGTTCACACACTTAGTACACATTTCCAAAACCACCTTAATATATCAACCTGATTTTCAAATACCAAGTTTTTAGCTTTATCCGTTAACATAATACCAAATGGTACCATTTTATAAGTTTAGTACCATTTAGAACTTTTCGTAGCCTTAAAGGTCGAATTTCAAAATCCTTTGGTGACTATTATTCCAGTTTGGCTAATACAAAGTGTTAAATTTTTAGTAAATTTTAGTACTTTTCGTACCTTTTAAGTACGAATTCCCAAAAACCCTACACACTTAGGCTGACGCTCGTGCAAAATTTCAAGGGTCTTGCTTCAGTTAGTCCGTCAGTTACTCTTTTTTTTTACGGGGGGAAATAAAAAAAAAAAACTGCAACAGAGTCAAACGCCATAATATTTTTTTAATTTTATTGAATAAAAGCAAAAACTGTCGGAAATAGCAAGATTTATTCACATTTAAATGCTGGAATGCTCTAACGATAGCCACTCGTGGATTTCCAGCCAAATATAAAGAAATCACACTATCACGCTTGAACGCCATCACGAATAATTTTTTTTTTGAAAATTCTCACCAAAATGCTTTTGTACGCTTGTAGACAATATAATGAGCTGTCACTGGAAATGACAGTAGTCTGAAGTTGGTTGCAGTCTTTTCATCTCACCCTGTATATATACAGATTGAAATATAGTTCTTTTTTTTTTGTAGAAAAATGTTATTTTGAGATGCTCTGGTGTTATATTTATTTATTTTGATTTAATTTTATGTAATTCATGTAATTCCCTGTAATAAAATCTAAGCTTTTCAAATCAAAAACAATTTTTCCGACTGATTTCACAATGACAGCCATTGACATTTCAAATAAATATTTCACAAACAATATCATATATTTCAATGTTGATACAAATGCTGTTGAAAAAAAAAAACTTTGCAAAATATAACGAGTTTTTAAAACAAATATTTTTTTTTTTTTTGTTAAAACTCATTTTGATGGGAATTTATTTGTCCAATTTTTATGTTGTTGTTGTTTATTGTTATTATGGTCAAATGCAATTGATGATGGTTTTTGGCTTTTGTTTTAATTTCTTGTTCTCATATATCAAACAATTAGCCATACATACGTATATACAGGGTATGTACATTCACATACTGTAGAATGTGTGTGCACATGTGTGTTTGGTATTTGAAACCTTGAATGTATTAACCCATCATCATCATCATCAGCAATGGTTGTTGGCTGGTTGGTTAAGTTGTGGCCAGGAGATCGCTGCTCTTTGTGGTATTTATAATCGTATTAAATAAAAAATAAAATATTTGTTGTTTTACAAAAAAAAAAGCATTACAATAATCTCCTCCTGCTTCACAAATATGTGAAGCAGCATCTATCTACTTCCATTCAATATCAATATTCTGTGTGTTGTTGTTTTTGTTTTCAATTTATTCATTCATTGATCTGTCAGACTGAGGACCGCCAGTCAGCCACTCAAATCACTTCACTCACTCATTCATTGCTATTCAGGTTGATAGTTTCAATTTTATATTTATTGGAGGTTTTTTTCGTCACACCACCCCACCTCCCATTCCATCTCTTTTGATATTACCCCCACCTGTATTCGGCCCATTGTGTTGGCTGGCTTATGGTTTTATTCTTCTTCTTCTATATCAACAACACAACACCTGTTGTTGTTTTATATGTTTGAACAACATCAGAAATATTTGCAAAGCAATAAAAAATTACCACAAATTGAATTAGCAATACTTGAGAAACACATTGATTTTTAACCCACAAATCGCTAAGACTCTTTACAGAGAGGACCCTAATATACAAGGGTTAAAAGCATTCCTAATCAAAAAACAAACAAAAAAATCGAAAAATCCTAAATTCAATTACTTATTTCGGACTTCTTTAGAAATAAATTTTTGTAGAAGTAAAGACCGGGTTTTCTATATTAAAAAAATTCACGTTTTTCTTTGTTGTGCAGCAGTTTGTAAACAAACAAAATGATCGTGTTTACTTGCCAAAGAGGCCTGCTGAAAATGTACACGTTCGGTTGGCCACCAGAACTCAGGCGCCGGCCATGGTGACGGTGTGGGCCGCCATAAAAGCTGATGGTCACTCTGCACCAGTATTAATCGACCGTGGCATCAGAATATATGCCGAATATTATCGCGAAAATATTCTGTAGGTTGTATTAAAGCCTTGGGCACACAAACATTTTGGCCGCAGACCTTAGATATTCCAACAGGATTCAGCACCATCGCACTCAGTACGAATGGTTGTAAAATGAGGTTCCTCGCTTCATTTCCAGCGCACAATGGCCACCAAAATCTCCGGATACCAATCCGTTGGACTATTGTGTCTGGAATGTTTTGGAAAGCAAGGTTGGACAAAAAAAAATGCCAAAGTGTCGATCACCTCAAGAAAACGCTTCGCCGGTAATAGGCCCAAATTCCGCAGAGCAACATTCGGGCAGCGTGTGATGGTTTCGTTGGCCGTTTGAAGGCCATAATTCGTGCCAAAGGTGACCAATTCGAACAAATCTGCACTTATTCTAATAATTAAAATTTATTTCCGACATTTTTTGCCTTCATTCAATAAAATTTAAAACAAAAATGTAAAAATTATGGAGTTTGACTTTATTGTAGGTTTATTTTTTTATCTCACCCTGTAGATTTACCCGGACCACAGTCCCCCTTGACGATTTTTTCTTCCTATATGTCATACCCTCTGAGAAGGCCGAGCCGAACTTCACCATTTGGAACGAATTTGGCAATTCTCAAAAACAATAAAATCCGCTAAAAATTCTGTTAAAATCTTTAAAATACCGAATGTAGCTCTTATATTAGGGTCTATACGACGGCATGGACCTGGATAGGTAGCTTTTGTCATAAACCATTACAATATTCAAATGCGAAGCTTAACAAAATCGGTGAATATATACCTAAAATCATCAATATACCAAGATGTGGACCTGCACATACAATCTCCTGTCATAGGCTGTAGCAGCCATTTCGAATTTCAAATATCAAATTTGAAACATTTCCGATGAATAAATTCGCTAAAATTATCAAAATACCGAATATCGGGAGGTACCGTTGTATGGGGGCTCTACCAAAACGTAGGTCCACGGTTTTTTTTTAATACCAAAAGTCCTGCAGACATAATATACATTTAAGTAAAATTTTATCAATCTAAAATTTTATCAATAAAATTTTATCAATAAAATTTTATCAATTAGTTCGGAATCTAGATCGATTTCCACAGACGGATAGACGGACGGACATAGCTAAATCGACATAGATTTTTATGCTGATCAAGAATATATATACTTTGTGGGGTCTAAATTGTATATTTTGAGGTGTTACAAACGGAATGACAAACTTAATATACTCTTCATACTATGGTGGAGGGTATGAAAAAGTCTCAGACCATGAGGATAATTTTTTTTCCTATAAAAAAATCTTCAGTTTACTGAGGACCGATGCTTTCCACCAAAAAAAAAAATATATTTTAAAACAAATTGTCTTTAAAATGGTGTCATGCCAAATTTCCATGTAGGAAAAGATCGATACTTTGGTATTTATTTCAAGTCAATAAAAAAATGTTCTCCTAAAACAAAATTCTCTGGTACGCTTATGGGCAACTTGTGTGCATTTAAATCGGTAAATTCACTTTTCTGTTTAATTGTTGCTGCCACTTTTTGAGTTTAGGTTGGTGCCCAGACAGCTAAACCAGCAAGGCAGTGAGCTATGCTGTTGATTGTTGGCTCAGTGGCTGGGCTGAGCTGGTGGTTTTGGCTGCTGCTGTCTGAATGTTTCAAAATCAGTTTCGACGACAACCGACCATATTATTATTTATTTTGTGTTTTTTTGCTTCTTGTTTCGTTTTTTTTTTTTGTTGTTAAATTCATTTATTACGAATTCCAAAAACAACAACTACACCCGTTTAATGTGCATTTGTTTTTTTTTCTTCATCTGAGGTTTGTTTTTGTTTCACTTTTCAGCCATTCAAAGAAATTCCAAGTTTTAGTTGTCTTGAAACACTTCAACACTACTGGCAGATTTATTGTTGGCGCTTTGCATTTCGAACACAAAATTTTGAATTTTCAATTATTTGTTTTGTTTACAAACAAATCAAGAAACCTAACAACGACGCGGCCACAAAAAAGAGGCGGGAAAGAAAGAACTCTTGTTGCGGAGAGAAATCTGTTTACATTTTCTTCTAAAGTATTTATCATGTTTTTTTTTTTCTTCGGAAATTGTTTACTTATTACTAATTTTGTGTTGGTATTTTTCATTCTTTTTCCAGAAAACATGAAAATCAAACGTGAAAATCACGATGATGGTCCCCACTCAGAGAAACGTAGCCGACACGGTGATGATCAAGTTCGCATCTTGATACCCAGTAATGTAAGTATTTGTTCGTTAACTTTTATTTTTTAAATAAATAGAAAAGTTTAATTGGCTTATTTGCCAAGTACTTACCATGGTATAAGACAAATTAGAAAATAAAATATGTGAATTTAAATGAAATAAATCTTGAACTCCATTAGGCGGTCGAGATATCTCCAGAACTGTTTAACATCTACATTTAGATCGTAACGATCGCTAAGTAAATTCGTGATAGGTTGAATTACCATGAAGACGAAGTATTTTCCAACGTAAGGTATATAAGATTCAGTCTTAAGCGCACATTTGAACTCAGGGACTTTTTACAACATTTTTAAATACAGTTAGGGTGAAATTTGACAGGCAAAACTAAACATTTTAAAATCTAGAAATTTACACCATTAACCTTCAGCCAATATACAGGGTGATATAAAAACAATGCAGCAAAGTCAAACGCCATATTTTTACATTTTGTTTTTTTAATTTTATTTAATGAAAGCAAAAAATGTCGGAAATAGCATCAAATTTTAGAATAAGTTTGGATTTGTTCGAATTGCTCACCTTTGGCACGAATTATGGCCTTCAAACGGCCAATGAAACCGTCACACGCCCATTTCCGGCGAAGTGTTTGCTTGAGGTGATCAACACTTTGGCATTTTTTAGTACCAACCTTTCTTTCCAAAATACTCCAGACACAATTATCCAACGGATTGGTATCCGGAGATTTTGGTGGCGATTGGGCGCTGGAAATGAAGCGAGGGACATCATTTTACAACCATTCTCGGGTGATGCGTGCTGAGTGCGATGGTGCTGAGTCCTGTTGGAATATCCAAGGTCTGTGGCCAAAATGTTTGCGTGCCCAAGACTTTAATACGTTCTCCAGAATATTTTCGCGAAAATATTCGGCATTAATTCTGATGCCACGGTCGATTAATACGAGTGGAGAGCGACCATCGGCTGTTATGGTGGCCCACACAATCACCATGGCCGGCGACCAACCGAAGGTGCACATTTTCAGCTGACCTCTTTGGCAAGTAAACACGATCATCATTCATTTTGTTTGTTTACAAACTGCTGGACAACGAATGTTTTCTCATCGGAGAAAACTAAATTCGGCAGTTCTAAACCACGAACCATATCTGCTTATGTTGCGTTTTCTTACGTCCACTTCCTTGACGTCGGGCTACTTTACCAGTATCACGGTAACGAGCGATGGTACGAGACACAAAAGATTTATTCACATTTAAATGCTGGAAGTGCTCTAACGATAGCCATTTGTGGTTTTCCAACCAAATATAAAGAAATCACACTACCACGCCTGTATTCCATTACGCATAACTTTTTTTTCTGGAAAATTCTAACCAAAATGCATTTTTACCCTTGTAAACAATATATTGAGCTGTCACCGGAATAATTTAAGCAGCTGTCGGACGAGGGGCTTAGAAATTATAGCAGTCTGAATTTGGTTGCAATTTTTTCATCTCACCCTGTATATTTAAACCAGAGCTCTGAAATGCCAATGTCGCTCTCTAGTCAAAGTATGGGAAAAATAAAGAAATCAAATATCCTCTATTTTTCTAGGCCACTCGAATAACTGTGAGTAGGCTTTGAAGTTTTCAAATGGGAATAAATTTGGCTCGAAATCGAACAGATTTTACTCTTTCTGAGAACTCTTAAGTTGTATCATACCATTATTATTATTATTTTTGTTGTAAGTAGGAGCAATTTTTAATCCGCAGCTGCAAACGAAACAAAAACAAATAGCGTTGTTGTTTTTTACACAAAGCCCACAGAGCCTTGGCGTTTGTACACAATCTCGTCGCGCTTCTCAAAAGATGTAGAAGGTCTTCTTCTCACACGAGACCAGAAGTTCACACAGAAGGGCGGAATGTCTTCTTCCTACAGACGACCCTAAGGTCCTCCCAGAGAAACCCCAATGGCCTTCTCATAGCAGTTTGCTACTACCTACTCACACGAACACACAAATTTCCATTTGATTTCTTTCTTAGGATACAATCTTACTCTATTCTGAAAATGTTGATACTCTCTTCTTTTTCAAATAGCAGTACTCGTTAACTAGTGTTGAACTCTGGTTTAGAGGCTGATAAGATATTCTTTTATAAAAAAGTACACCTTTATTGATTTGATACTCCAAGCAAGTATTTTTTTTGTGAAAGTTGGACTCCATGTAATTAATGGACTCCATATTCCCTTGGCCTTCAATAAATTAATTAATAAATAATAAAAAAGTAGTATCCCTAGTTTTTTTTTTTAAATTTCAATTGAGCCCTCAATTAGGAGCCCCCACTGCTATATATATTGTGTTCGTAATGGTAATACGTTCAAAAACGTTCAGCATTGAGATCTCGCCCAACATAAAGATAATTTATATATAATTTTATAACTTATATTTTTCTTTTATTTTTCAGATTGCCGGTGCTATTATAGGCAAAGGAGGCCAACACATTCAAAAAATGCGCACACAGGTATGGTAATGAAACTCCCTATCCACCTTGGTTTAGAATTCTAAGTATTTTTTTATGTATTTTCTATTTTTTCTGAAACAATGTAACCTCCTATTTACCAGTCAGATTGATTGTCCTATTTTTTCCAAAACTAATTTGTCAAAGACCACAAAAAACTTTGTGAAATTAAAAAAATCTCCCACTAAGTTAAGAGTTTAATGTCCTTTCAAGCCCTTAACGAGTCATTATTTGATGGAGAGGACTGGATCACTCGACCTTTGCGACAAGGAGTATTAATGGGTTTTATTTAGTTTTGTGGGTTATCTGTTTGCGATTTCAATTTTTCTTTCACTGTGTCTCATTATTTGCTCTTATTTAAGTGTGGTTTAATTGGTTTTAACAACAACTAAAGGGCCCTTATTTTTGGGATATCTATCCTCTTTTCTTAATACATTTATTGCTTCTGCTGGTTTAACTTCTTTTCTTTAACATTTCTGCATCTCAAAATATCTTTTCTTTACCTACTTCATCATAACATGGTATCTGTATAATCTTCCAGTTCTTTTTTTTTTGTTTTAACAACCTTTGCTGCCTTGGCTGCCCCTCCCTCTTTTTTCCTAGTCGACTGCGGGGTGTGGAGTGTTGTGTGTGGATCATCACTACTCTGCATCTTCTCGGCAAATTTTTGTTACCACGAATTCTCGTATTTTGTAGAACCATTTCAAATATTTTGTAGCTAAACTTTTAGTTAGTCCCAACTTAGTATACAATTTTGAAATGAGATCATTTTAATGCAAACAAGAACAAAAACAACCTTGACAAAAAAAAAAACGAATAAAAATAAAACAAATACCACTTGCAATTTACCATTAATTAAATGATCAATTTTTCTCTTTCTCTTTTTCTCGCCCCCCAACCACCAAAATCTCTCAAAACCATAAACCAACTAAATCCAAATGTTGTTGGTCTCTCAAATACAAATCTCAATTGTTGACCTAATCCAACAACCAAAAATTAATGGTCCCTGTCTGCCTGTGTATTACCTGTTGTGCCCGACCAAACCACCACCACCGACCAACCGCGACCGACCATGATGGAACCAAAATGATTGGTGTGGTTCTGAAATTCGATCTTCATCAACGATTTGTTTTCAATAACAAATACAATTTTATATATCCGGCCCGGTTACTTGGCCCGATTGCCTGTCTGCCCGCCAAATGATTGACCAAAAAATTAAAACTCTGACCAAATATGCCCGAAATCTAAAAAACAATCTGTCATTGAAACCTGAACTGATTCTGCGTACCAAACCAAAACCAACACCGAAAATACCAAAACACCGACCAAACAATCTACGGGTCTTCTGTTGTCTTCTTTGTGGATCTGTTTCAAAATCTGTGTCTCTGACTCTGCGCGACCCAAACAATCGATCAATCCATCCATCAACGACCGACCAATGTCTGTAACTACACCAACACCACAAAAAAATATTACCAACCAAAAACAAAAAATACCACCACCCCCCAATCAACTACAACAACAACAACCTAACTTTGTTTGTTGAGCAGTATAATGCCACTGTGTCTGTCGACGATTCCCAAGGCCCCGAACGGTAAAGATCTTACTATATAAACTCACACACACACATACATATATATTTTCTTCTTCTCTTCCTATATAAACAAATATGTCTCATCATAACTTTATTAAGCCATGAAAAAAAAAAAAAAACAAAAAACCGACAAGTATAATCCAATTTTATTAGGTCTAAAATTCACATATATTACAAGAAACAAAGAAAGGGATTACATTTTCTTTATCTAGACTTATAATGGGCTTAGTTTTAACAAGTATTATCATTGAATATAGTATATGTGTTTGTAATATGTATTCCTTGTAGACTAACCTAAGCTGAAAGATTCACTGGAAACGAAGGTAGAGTTTGAAAAATTCCCTCTGAAAAAATATGTTGCATGTCGTCAAGCATTAATCACCATTTTCATCAACTAATGCTAAAGATTGCTGGTGTTCTGGTAACTAGTTGCTTCACAAATGATGAAAATGGCACTTAAAGCTTTAATACTTTTTTCCCAAATGCCTAATTAACAACCCACAAAAATTATTATCATGGAATTTTTAATGTTAACATTAGCTTTTGCAGATTTTGAATCTCTTAAGGAAAAAGAAAACACAATTTCATTACAAGGCCTAAGAAGGTGAAGGTCATAAATCCCAAGCAGATGCTTTGGAATATTGAGAGGAATTCAAAGGAAATAACATTTCAGTTAACCTGGAAACCGTCATCTTCTGGGCCTGCTAGGTTCATTTCTTAATGCTATCGGCGTAGAAGTGTAATCACTGAAGAGGCACCCGTTAAATTCCTAGACGGAGAAATGGTCCGTGTTACCTGGTAATCGTCATATTTTGGGCCTGTCAGGTTCATTTCTTAGTGCTATCGGCTTAGAGAAGTAATCACTGAAGTGGCGTCTAGACGGAGAAATGGTCCGTGTCACCTTATTAGTAATCTCATTCCTCGCCAAGTTGGAGTGCCAAGGACCGAAGCATGGCTTGACATTTTTTTGTTTCATTTTAGAGATGAAATCTGAAATTCGCTGCCAAAATGTTAAGCCAGAGATACACAACAAGACCCTTTAAGACGTGACTCGTGCCGACGTTGTGTTAGCGATTATTAATGACAATTGGTGTGGATGGCATCCAAAGTTCGTGCATTTTTAAGATATTGTTTCGCAAATGATCAGACAGCAGAATTTCACAATAGCATAAATGTGAGCCTGAAAATTAGACTATCGAACTTTCAAACCCAGCCCTGGCATGGAACTTCATAGCTTCGACAGGTTAGCTTTATTGCCAAGAGCTTGCATTAGGGTGTCAAAAGATCTAAGTCTCTAAACTGTTACTTTACAACTACAGAACTTCTATAGTCATGTAAGCTCTTCAAGTTAACGGAAACTCCGCTTTCTTGTGAAAAATGCACGCCTAAAACTCAATGTGATGCTCATTATTTCGTTATTCCTCATTATGTTGAGAACTTTTTAAAAATCCGATAAGACTCAATTGTACATGTCTTACTTTACTATTTCCCTAATTAGTTTTCTTGATTACCGCAGCCAGCAGAACGTCTGCATTAATCATTGGAGATAGTCTCAGAACAGACAAGCAATGGACAATCTGATGGGACTCATGGAAGTCCATGAATAGAACCTCTTTATAACCCCTGAAGAATTTAATATTCGAATGGGTTCCCTTTTTAACTGAAATTCCAATGAAATCGATGGGAGAGTGCAGGTCAATGTTTCAAATACCATAAAATGTGCGGTAGGCTTTATATGAACCTTCAAAGGGCTTTTTTTTTATCAACTGTCAGTTCCAAATACCAACTTTGAAACAATTTCCTTGAAAAAAATGGCTAAAGTCATGAAAATAACCGGAGGTATCGTCACATGGGGGCCATTGATTTCCTATGTGCACCATGTTCTGCCAAAAGATGTAGAAACCATTACAAACTCTAAATAACAAATTTAAAACAATTCCGTTGAAAATGCTACAAATACCGAATATGGGAATATTATATGGGGGTTATACTAAAACGTGAATCTAGAAATTTCATTTTCAATACCAGTCATCCTAGACAAATACAATACAAACTAATAAATAATATAGGCTGTATCTCGATTTCAACACACAGGCGGATAGACATATGGACTTCAGTTAGAAATGAATGTATATGGATTTCCGACCGAGTATTTTGAATAACAATTTTATGTACCGTCCTTTTCATATACTCTGAAGAATATAAAAATTCCAAAACAAACACCAAGGCTTCGCGTTCTTCTTGAGCTTCGATTTAGCACTTGCAAAGCATTTAATATTGCAAAGTTTTCAGCCTATACTAGAACGCATTTATCCATGAGGTAATATGAGAACTTTCTGGATTGCTCTGCCCTGTAGCCATTGTGGAATTTTGTTAGCGACTGCAATCTTTTCAATACTGGAATTGAAAAAGCAGCTTTTTAATATTCCTTCAGAACATGGTTACTGTAGAGCCAGATGAATAAACTCAAGTCTGACCTCTTAATAAGCTCCTTCTCTTTTTTATCGAGAAAATCAGCGAATGTATTAGGTTTACGAATGTCACTAAAACCAAGTCCAAACTTATGTATAGTAGAATAAGTTCCCATTCAGGCCGAACTTTTGCACCTTCCACCGTCAATCATGTTTTGAATGCCAATCACAATCCCAGAACTAGATTTATATGTGCCTGCAGGACAAATTAAATACATTCGTGAGCTTATGGAGGAGGTAACAAATGACGAGCTTCGTACATCTCTTTTAGGTAGACAAGCCTCGAAAATTGTATTTTAAAATACTTCAAGTAGACTCGCTTCTATTCTATTCCTTACGGCTTTCCATGAAGTTTGTTTCTCAATACATCGCAGAATGCATAAACCCTCTGTTAGATGGTTATCGATGGCAAACCGGAAATTTTTCATATGTGAACCGTAATACAACACCGTCTTTTTTGGACATTTTTTTGTGATCCCTACCTGACCTAAGTCTGATAGAAATATTGCCACGCACCAAGTTTTACTGGATTTTATGATGTGGGAAGTTTGACGACGATTTCATGTTAATGAAAGTTATTCGAAATGTTACCTTTTGTGGGGGTCTTGTACCTTCAGGAATCACAAGTAGTGCCAAGTTTTACTATACAGGTGAGACAAAAAAACTGCAACAAAGCCATAATGTTTACATTTTTTTTTTGTTTTATTGAATGATAGCAAAAAATTTCGGAAATAGCATCAATTTTAGAATAAGTTTAGATTTGTTCGAGTTTGACACCTTTGACACGGCCAATGAAACCGTCACACGCTGCCCGAATGTTGCTCTGCGTATTTTGACCCATTCTCGGCGAAGCGTTTGCTTGAGGTGATCGACACTTTGGTATTTTTTAGTACCAACCTTGCTTTCCAAAATACTCCAAACACAATAGTCCAACGGATTGGTATCCGGAGATTTTGGTGGTCATTGTGCGCTGGAATGAAGCGAGGAACCTCATTTTGACACGTACTGAGTCCTGTTGGAATGTCCATGGTCTGCAGCCAAAATATTTGCGTGCCCAAGTCTTTAATATACCCTCCAGTTTTTTTCGGCCACTGCTACGCGGGTTTCGATCAAGTCGCTTCTTTACTTTTCGAACCATTTCTGCTGATGTTGTTGTTTTCTTCCGTCCAATTCTTTGACGTCGGTCTACGCTACCAGTATCCGGTAACAAGCGATGGTACGAGAACTAAAGATTTATTACTTTTAAATGCTGGAGTACTCTAACGATAGCCACTTGTGGTTTTCCAGCCAAATGTAAAGAATCACACTACCACGCTTGAATTCCATCACGAATAACTTTTTTTTTCTGAAAATTCTCCCCAAAATGCTTTTGTACGCTTGTAAACAATATAATGAGCTGTCACTGGAATAATTTTAACAGCTGTCGGACGAGTGGCTTAGAAATGACAGCAGTCTAAATTGTTGAATTTTTTTCATCTCACCCTGTATAGGATACTCTCCGCTAAATATGATTTCGTATTTGGCGTCCAAACTTTTTAACTTTCTGTCGGAATTACCTTACCGGAAAGAGTGACCGAATAGCCCATTTCGCTAAGTGTGATAAAAGTATTACGATGTAATTTACACAAAATCGTATCGTGCGAGCACTTTGCGCACAGCGTTCGATAATTCATATCACTGACTTCAGATGCGAGTCAGACCAGTTCA